GTATAATATGTAAAAAAAAAAAAAAATTCTTCCTTGATTTGTCAAAATTGACAAATAATTAAGGACAACTATTAATAAAAAAGTGAACAAGTAATTAAAAAAAGAATTATATTAAGAAACAAAAACATATATAATTTATATCATTACTAACAATCAATAACAATCTAAAAAAAATGTAACTATACAAATATAACCAAGAAAGAATATTATCATATGCTCTAGCCATACATACATATATTCAGACTTATCATTAGAGTTGTAAATGTTGGTGTTTTTAATTATTAGTGCTACTTATAAATTTTTTCGGATCATTATAATTGTGCTCTCCTGCTTATATTTCTATAATAAAATAATATTATATTAATCATTAATTTAGCTTCATTCCTTTTTTATTTCTTAATCGGAATAATATAAGGCCATGAAAGAAAAATTAAGCATACAAAATTAATTAGAAGTTGCAGAAACTTTAAAATTAGAAAAATATCTACCTTTGGAGTATTAGATTTTGTAATTTATCATCTCAATGATATTGACATTTCAAATTTTATTTGAAATACATATTGATTTGAAGTCATAAATAAAACCAAACATGCATATTGCTAGTATAAGAGGTCAAAATGTTAACCACACGTTACTTGAATGCTATAATTATAAATAATAATTAGTGGTTGAAAATTTATTAGATTAAGATTTTTAAAAAAATATTTAATGAATATTTTAGTACAAGAACATTGGTGGATAATTCTAGTATTAACTTTAAAATTAAATTTATATATCTTGAATTTTGTGTGAGGTATTACCTAAAATTAGTATAATTTTATTTCAAAATCTTATAGTATCACTTATCTCATCTAAAATTTAAAATTTATATAAATATAATGTTGAACCAAATAATATCTACAAAAAGTATTCGAGAGTGGTAATTAGATTGGTCATGACACAACTTTGGGTTACTAATGTTGAAAGAAACCTGACGACTGATTGAACACGTCTAAGGATTAGGTTCATCAAAGCAGACTGACGATTTAGAGTTAGAGTCATACTAGGATTAGACTACTAAATTCTAAGTTATGTACGACTAAGCTACTAAATATTATCAGTTGATTGAAATGGTCCTGTTGCATAACAAAAGGTGGTCATTCACCCTTAACCTAATAGATTTATCAAAAAAAATAATTGATCGTGAACCTTATGTGCCTAACAAAGTTCATCATTGTTGTCTTCTTTGTTATCTCAAAATAAAGACCACTATAGAATCTAACACCATTTTTCTCTATTTTCTCCATCAAAATTTAGTATGTGCTCTTTTCTAAAATATTATTCCACCCGCCTAATAAGTAATACTTATGTTTTGAGCAATAGAAAATAATAATTGTTGTTAGAGAAAGTAGAGACAATGACGTTATATTTCATGAAGTTCTTTCTTTTGGAACTAAGAAAGAAGATAACAATGACCGATTTTGTTAGCTATGTGGGGTCCACATTTAAATTTAACACATTTTTATTGGATAATTTATGAAAATTCTACTAGTTTAGAAGTTAATATTTAGATGAAAATTAGTTTGCAATATTATGATTCTTACAAAATTTTGGTGTGGTGAGATACGTCCAAAACATGTGTATAGTGATATTTGCGACAAATTTAGGTGTAATTTGTTCTAGATACAATGTATCTAAGTGGATTTACATGTATTTAATATACATAAGCAAATATCCTTCTCCTCTCTCACATCTCGCTCGTATTAGTATCCTGATTACATGCGAAGAACACCAAATACATATATCTAGTGTGATTCACATGTATTTGAGATACATAAATAAATCTCGTTCGCCTCCTTCGTGTTCTTGCTCGTCTTTCTCCTTACTTAATATCTGATATGATATTATTAATTAGAGAGACATAATATAATTATTTCAAACTATAGAGACAATTAATAAATACGGTAGGCATGTTGTTTACTTAGATAGTTTCTCGCTTTTTATTTGGTACATTTGTTCATTTTAGGGCTAACGGTTGAAATGAACACCTTATACTATTTAGAATCATTCCAATCAAGTGAATTAAAGAAAAAAATGATAAGAAATGATTGTTTGGCTATTTCTATTACAAAAATTTTAGCTTAAATTTGGGAGAGAACATAAGTACCTCCAACACTATGACCGAAATCGTAGATACACATCTTAACTAACTAAGGTCCTAGTAACTCCAAACTCATTTTTTCTGTAATTCGATAAATATTTTGGCTTATATGACACACTCTATGACTCCACGCAATTGAGATGCATTGGAAATGTTTGGCTTACGTGGCACAATCCAAGTAAACGATGTATTTTTAAAATAACACAAAAATGGGCTCGGGGGCATAATAAGACCGTAGTCTAGTTAAGATGTCTTTTTGAAATTTCGGTTAGAGTCTAGGGGGTACTTATACCTTACCCCACTAAAATTTAAAAAATATTAAAATTGACCAAATATCTACTCTTTTTCTTCCTTCTAGTTTCGCCATCAATAACTTCTTTTCCTTCTTTGTTCCCCCTCTTCATCTTTTATCTTTTCATGCATTAGTTATTTTTTCCCTTTCTTTGAAATTTGGCGCTCTTTAAATGTGGATAATTTCGAGTAAATTATATATTAAAAAACTATAAATATCGAAAGGATTATCGTCATGTATCGAGACACTATTAAATAGTCAAAAACAACTCCAATTTATGTTCACAACCAAACAGAACTCTGATTTTGAATCATCGTTATTCACTTTTGATGGTGAGTAATAATGATTGAAAATTAGAGTTGTGTTTGGTTGTGAATATAAATTGGAGTTGCTTTTGAGTTTTTGTGAGTGATTTAAAGTGATAAAATTGAAAACAACTTGAATTTTGAAATGAAGTTATAGAATGAATTAGATATCAAGTTTTTTTCTAGGTAAAAATTGAACTTGAAATAATGGTATGAAATTTGTAGAGAATCATATAACTAGTGGAATTAGTGATGCACATCAAAAAATTTTTGGACGTTTTTATTTTTCTTTTCTTTTATGTTTGGGTGCTTTTTCTGGAGGATATGTTGCCTGTGACTAGTTGTCAGAATTGATAAGAGTGAAGAAGAGATGGTGGTTGATAGATCAGATGACCCTCAGATAAAGACGAATGCTACAATTATTACCGCTGATGATGATGCTAGGTCGGACCAGTTTCTGAAAGTGACAATCGAAGTCAATGATTCTTTTGCATTTATAGGTGAGGATAATGAAGTCTCCCATGAGGATCAAACTGCATTTATAGAAAAACTAGGCACCTTTTACCGGGAGAAGGCGGTAGAATTTAAACTACCTAGGTTTTATGGTCATCCACTTAATTGCCTAAAGTAAGTGTATCATATTTTTATCAATGAGCCTTTTTATTTACATCTTGTTCCTGAGACATATTATATGTTATCATGTTCTTCGTGCTAGGTTATGGAAATTTGTGATAAAATTAGGTGGCTATGATCAGGTAAGCCTTTTATTCTGCACTTGTAGCTTACTTTTTTGATTGAATCAAGAACTGTAGAGGATATTAGTCACTTTTCCAAAATGTCCTCAACTAATCAGAAGCAGTGGATCAACAATCGAGTGCAATAAGTCAAGGAATTATTTATGAATTAACCATGATCTTGCCAAATATCACAGTGTGAACCTCGAGTTGTTAGAGAGGGTACTCTAAATTTATTTTTAAGAAATAAGCAATGTAGCTCCATAGATTATAGTATAATTAAAAAAATTCAAGCGGTGGTTGTGTATTTCCTTCTGTTACAATATGCTATAAGTCTGTGAGATAAGTTTTATGTTATTCCCATGTACTTTTGACGGTGTACTATTATTCTACTTTGTCTCTGTAAGTAACTGAATACAAACTCTGGCGACAAGTGGGAGACTCCTTTAATCTCCCCAAGTGAGCATTTAGTTGGGCCTATTTATTTCTTTTTTTTTGGCAACTGATATAAATAATTCTCCTTTTCTCGTCAAACATCAACTTCCCCAATATATACTATCTAAGGGAGATGTTGTCTTTCATTGTTTTACTGATGATGTGCCAAGATTTTGAAGTACGGTATATTTTGGGTACAATATATCAGAAAGTGCTTGAAGAACAATTGTTCATGAATTGTATTAAACTTAATAACTACTTCCTGTGTTTCAAATGTTTGTATGGTTTTGACTTAACACCTTAATAAAGTAATTAATTTTTGTGAATCTTGTAGCCTTGGATTAAAACGGTACATGGTCCAGTTCTTTTACTTGAAATTATAACAATTTTTGAAATTGAGAATTATATGAATTAGGGAGAAACTCCATGAAAGGAAAATCAATGATCCATATAAATAGCTTAGCTGGAAATGTCCTGAAGAAATCCAACGAGTAACATAATCTTGTTAAATTGAAAAGAGCAACTATTACCTTTTTCTGATGAATCGTATAGTTTTACGATTTCATCGACTAAAAAGGTTATCAAACGAAGGTAATTATGTAAAGATATGGCACCTCAAAGCAACTCAGCCCCAGATCATGAGTGGTGGTTTTTCCATTTCCATATAAATAGTCCAATTTATTATCCTTATTCCGATGTGGGATTTCTTAACATTCCCACGTATGCCCAGACCTCAACTAGAGCATGAACCGTTATCAATGGGGAGCCAACATCGAAGAACAACAAACTGGGATAAGTCTAACTCTAATACCATATAAAGATATGACAACTGAGTCTACGACAACCTCAAAAGCTAGCTGTGAGGGAGGTTTGTCCAAGTCCACATAAGGAGTCAAATTTCCCATTCCTCTTCCGATGTGAGACTTTTTAACAATTTCAATTGAAATGATCGAAAAGGAAATGTGAGTTAATGTATGCTCAAGGTTGAAAATATCATTAAAAAAAGTTTAAAAAGAAGAGTCCCTTAGTTACATAATTTTAAATTGAAATTGAGAATTGAGTTCATTATAAGATCTATTTATCCTTCTTAGAAGATAGTATGTTGCCACTCGGACTCGAACCGAGATGCATTAGCACTGCTTCCTAAGAGCAGTGTTTCTATCAATTTCACCATAGCAGTCTGTCTTGAACTCATAATAGCAATCAATAAGCAATTGTCGAGATTAAGTAGCTATTTTTTTAGTAATGACAATAAAAAGTTGTTCAAATAAGGATTTTAGGTTGAAGGTTCATTTCAGATTTTAGTTTAGATAAACCAAATACTAGTGGAATGTACGAAATGTCCTTAATCTTGTAGTCTTGAACATGTCACGTGAGTTGTGACACGTCGAAATTAAGAATTGCCAAAAAAGAGAAGAGACGTTCTTTTCTTTGAACATGGTAACTTTGCAAGGAGGCATTCTTTTTATTGCATATAGAGTATTAAAACTACTAAAATTAAACATACGAAGAAAACATGAAGTGATTTTACACATATAACAACAAAAATTCCAACATCAAGCTATAAGCTGAGTTGCTCCGACTCTACTTGTGACACACTGAAATTAAGAATTGCCAACAAAGAAAGAAGCATTCTTTTATATGTACTAGTAACTATTGAAAGAGGCATTCTTTTTATAATGCAGAGGGTATTAAAATTATTAAAATCTAAAATACTAAGAAAATATGAAGTGATTTTGCAAAAAAAACAATATAGATTCCAACATCAAGCTATAAGCTAAGTTGCTCGGACTCTTCACTTTTGGTGCCACACCCGTGTCGACACGACACGGGTGTGGGATCTGTGTCCAATATGGTCAACCAATTTGAGGTGCTTTTAATAAAATTGATGGGATAATGTGGATAGTTTTAATGATTGTTTGTAATCAATGCAAAAGCGAATGTCAAATTGAAGAAAATGAATTATCTTTTGTCTATAAATTTCTATATGACTCCTCTTCTTTTAATATTCTTCCAGATTCTCCTCAAGTTCTCCCATAATATCTCATAGTTTAGGTTTAATAATTCTTCTTTTAGATATTCGTAATGGACATCCGCACCATGTCCGAGCAACGTTTACTCGTATTTGAGTGGTGGCAATTGGTTCTGGAGTTAAGCATGTAGGGACTTGAAGCCTAAAATATTTACAGATGCTTCTGAATAGGGAATCTAGACTTTATGAGATACTGAAGGAATGCTTCCTTATGCTAGATTTGCTCAATGTGAAATGAGTGTCGATGTCTAACGTCCCCAATTAGATGAGTAACTTAGAATAAAGAATGAGGTTGTAATGAGCAAGATATCTTTTGATTCTCTAATAATATAAGAATTTACTGGAATGATAATCACCTGAATATGTACGACAATTAATACCAATGCTTTCTATCTACTATTATACGACTTCGTCTAAATGCTTTTTTGGGGGCTCTGAAAATCTACTTTCTCAGGACTTGCACTACTGTTCTTGGACATTCCACGGCTTCTATGAGAAGGTAATAACCTGAAGTTCTCTTCCCTTGATAGTTATTAGCATATTTTGACTACTGTCCACCATGCTGCTAATATTTGGTATATAGTGATTTTGAATAGAATTTGTTCAAAAAAGTTATCCCTGTACATTATATTATCTCATGATTTCTCTATATGTTAGTTACTTCTCCAATACGAAAGGCATACGACAAAAATTGGAGTGCTTCAACTTCCTATTTCTCCTTCTCCTATTGACAATGAGGTAACACTGTGTTTACTTTGTTATTATGTGATGTATCTTCACATTTGTTGTATGTTGTACACCTTTTAATTGATATATGGGGAAGCCTATTACCTCAAGTAGTTAGAATCATTGACTTATTTTGACTTTGCAAAAGTTCTTAAAGTTTATTTGATTATTTACTGAAGTTGAGCATTTTTATAATAAGAATTAGGTTATGGAGTTGGTCTTTACTTTATCTAAATGTCGAATCAACTAATGTAGCCTTGTTGTATAGGTATATTATACAAATATGAACTATTTGAGGTAGTTCTGCAGGGAAGTGGTTACCCAATTTCTGCATCAGGAAGGGCAGTAAGAGATTCCGCTGCTCGTTGTAGGCTAGGCTGGCAGCAGAAACACCTTCTTGGTTATGGTGAGGTTGCTGAGTCAATTGTAAAGATCTGCTGCTGGATCCTTGTAGAGGTCTTTGGGCATTAATTTCTATTGCAATGTATAAGTAATTTTGGTGTTTTTCATCTTTTATAGGACATGATTGCCAACAATATGCCAAAACGTGCGAAGAGACGAAAAACTAGTGGTAAGATTGTTCATACATCTCTTTCATTGAGTTGTTTTCTCCCAATATAAAGTCTAGCACTTCCAAAACTTTGTCTTTCGTGTCTGTTATTTAGTATTGTAAATATATCAGGATCATCATTCGAGATCATTAGTTTTTGCTTTAACTCATTCGCTTATCAAAAAGAATAGTGACCGCAGCAGAACTTCTTGTCATATTCAGGCTCTTAAGCACGAGGGGAAAAATGAAGAGGAGCATCTAATGAAAGCTGCAGAAGCTAAAACATCTCATTCGTACGTCGTACATTATCTGTATCCTTTCTTCTAATATTTTTATCTCTTCATTTATCTTGTATGCCAGAAGTTTATCACCCAAAAGAAAAAAAGTTCTCAGAACTTCAGTAGTATTTCTCTATCTTTCTTTGTTTTTCGCTCCTCTCGTTTCTTATGTAAAGTAAATTGCTTTCCATCTACTAGGTTGGATGCCAAGTTGTTGATGTTGGACCCCCCGCTGATTGGATGAAAATCAATGTTCGTGAAACATTAAATTCCTTCAGACTAAAAGAATTAAGGACCTCTAGAATGCATTCGATTTCTCTCATGTGATTTGTAATGATTTTATGCAAATAAAATGATTCCTTTGAGGTCTATGCAACGGTGCCTGGGCTTTTACGTGAGGAGGTATAATACCAATCTTGCTACTGGTTTCCATAAAGTGCATTCAATTAGTTTTCGTCTTTTTACAGCATCTTAAAGCTCGAATGCCCTTATTTCATAATAAACATAGGTACGAATTCAATCTAATCCATCTGGTCGCCTGGTCATTATTGGTCAACCAAACCAACTTGACAATTTTTGGGGTGTTACTACCTTCAAGAAGGTACACACCTTGCTATTTATTTTAACTGATTTTGACTTACTCTGGTAAAGAGAAAATGTCATGCAAAAAACTTGATATTTCTTAAATGGATCTGAAAACTATATTGTTGTTACGTTTCTATTTGTTGCTCACAACACTCTTAAGAAATCTGCGACCATCAAAAGGTTCTCGATTTGTCAGTTGGCCTGGCATAATTTTTTTCTTTCAGATGGTCATATCACCTGCTAGAATTAATCAGCTTCGGACCAGCGCTGATGTCTCCCTTCATGGGTGTCTTCATGTTCATGTGCCCTTTGCGCAGCAGAATATCTGAGTCGACAATGCAGAAGTATTGATAGTGAATGCTTGGCCATAGTCGTTTTGTTGTTGTTGTTGTTCAGCCATCCCAGTAGAAACTTAGATTTCTTTTCAAAGACATATGGATACGTGATGAACATAGCTTGAGGTAGTATGTCTCACAAGCATGGAAACTGGGAAAACTTTTGCCGCTTAAAAGTAAAATGCGAGGATTTTTATGTCCCAAATTTAAAAAGTACAATTACATAATAGCTAAGTACAACATT